TTTATTATTTTTTCCTGCACAGTTTATTTATGTATTAATATAATTTCATATATATATGTAACATATTTTTTTCCAATATGTTTCATTTCATTCTACAACCCCATTTCTATAAAAGTTGGGACGCTGTGAAAAATGTAAATAAAAACAAAATGCAATGATATGCAAATCATTTAAACCCTACATTTCATTGAAAATGCTTCAAAGACAACATATCAGATGTTGAAACTGAGAAATTCTATTGTTTTTTGAAAAATATATGCCCATTTTGAATTTGATGCCAGCAACACGTTCCAAAAAAAGTTGGGACAGGGGCAACAAAAGACCGGCAAAGGTGTGTAGTGGTAAAAAAAACACCTGGTAGTTAATTGGCAACAGGTGAGTAACATGACTGGGTGTAAAAAAGCATCCCGGAGAGGCTGAGTCTTTCAAAAGTAAAAATGAGGAGGAGTTCACCACTCTGTGAAAGACTGCGCAGGCATTTAGTGCAACAATTCAAGAATAACATTTTTCAACATAGGATAGCAAAGAACTTTTGCCTTTAATCATCTATGGTACATAAAATCATTAAAACATATGGAGAACCTGGAGAAATCTCTGACAAGGCCATGATCTTTGGGCCCTCAGGCAGCACTACATTAAAAACAGACATGATTCTATAGTGGAAATCACTGCATGGCTCAGAAACATTTCTGAAAACCACTGGCTGCGAAAAGAGTTTGTCGCTGCATCCACAAATTCTAGTTAAAACTCTTAAACGCAAAGAAGAAAGCATATATGAACAGGATCCAGGAACACTGCCACCTTCTCTGGGCCCAAGCTCATTTAAAATGGACTAAGGTGAAGTGAAAAAGTGTCCTGTGGTCCGACGAGTCAACATTTGAATTTCTTTTTGGAAATCATGGACACTGTGTCCTCCGGACTAAAGACCACTCAGCTTGTTATCAGTGCACAGTTCAAAAGCCAGTATTCATGATGGTATAGGAGTGCATTAGTGTGCATGGCATGGGTGACGTGCACATCTGTGAAGGCTCCATTAATGCTGAACGATACATACATGTTTTGGCAACATATGCTGCCATCCGGACGACGTCTTTTTCAGGGAACAAGGCCTTTTTCAGGCCTTGATTATTTCAGCAAGACAGTGTCAAACCACATTCTGCATGTATTACAACAGCATTTCTCCGTATTAAGAATCTGGACTCTAAACTGACCTGCCTGCAGTCCAGACCTGTCTCCCACTGAAAACATTTGACACATTATAAAATGAAAAATACAACTAAGGAGACCCCAAACGTTTGAGCAGCTGAACTTCTATGTTAAGCAAAATAGGAAAACATTTCACTTTTAGAGCTACAGCAGTCGGTCTCCTCAGTCCCCAAGCGCTTACAGAGTGTTGTTAAAAGAAGATGTGATGAAACACAGTGGTAAACATGCCCCTGTCCCAATTTTTTTTGGAACATGTTGGCATCAAATTCCAAATGGGTAAATATTTTTCAAAAAACAATACAATTTCCCATTTTCAACATTTGATATGTTGTCTTTCTACTGTTTTCAATGAAATGTAGGGTTTAAATGATTTGCACGTCATTGTTTTTTTTATTTACATTTTTCACAGCGTCCCAACGTTTTTGGAAATGGGGTTATACTTCATTTTATTCATACACTAATATATAAGTAAATCATAGAACATTAGAAAGATAAAATATCATAGTCTCAATGAAAAACACAGAACAATTACAAACAATAGGAGACAAAACAGACCCAATACATTTGACAAATACTAGCCAAAACAAAAGTTTGCAATGTTTTTTTTTCCCTCTGTAGTTACAGTTACTGTTCCAGAGATACAAGTTTTGTTACAACAGTAATACAGTATATATCATGTAGTGCAAATGTATGTGTATGTATGTGTATGTATGGTGTATAAGTCCTGATGCTGAGTAAAAACAGATGTGTGTGTATGTGTGTGTTTGAGTATGTGTGCATGTTGCAGTGAGGGGTGTGTGGTGTACGTACCGCTCCAGGTCACCTTGTGTAACAGGGACGTAACTCTGAGCTCAGAGGAGGGCAAGAAAGAAAAATGGAGGAGGGAAAAAAAACAGGATGTGGAGAAAAAGAGGGGAGGAATATGTCACCTAGAGGAGGAGAGGAGTAAAGGGTATGGGACTGAGAGATAAGGCAGCCATGAACATGATCAGAGGGGATAAGCTGGGCTAGTGTGCTGGTATCTCTCTCAGTCAGACCTGAGGCACAGCTTACCAGCCACACACACACACACACATAGACACACACACACACACACGCACACACACACACGCACACACACACATGCGTTTGGACACCTTTTTGTGCAGTCAATACAATATGGCAGAGCTTGTGCAGTGGCCTCAGTCCATAAAACTATAATCTTGAGTTTTTATGCCTCAGCTATCGACCATCTGAAGACAGTGAATAAAGAATAAAGTTTGTAGTTTCTCACTCTTCACACTGGCTTACACTGCTGCCAGCTCTATATCAGGGGATCAGTGTGTGCTGCCTTGTTACTGCTGTTTCTGAATGAGAGAGAGACAGAAAAGCCTGATTTATGCTCAGTGTTAAAGGTGGGCAATGTGTCAAAAACCAGAGAGACCAGAGATTTCCAAGATAATAGATGTTTTCTGTGGTTTGAGAACAGACAATGCCAAAAATGCTTACAAAAAACAACAAGGAGACTTAAAAACTCAAGCATATGTAAGTCTGTTACTACCTTTAAGTTGTTCTCAGATGTTCCTAATTACAACTTCGGAGGTCGACACGATGTGTGGTTTAGGTTGGAAACAAGATGGATGTGCTCCAAATAATGCTCTTTTGTTTGCTTTTGCTTTGATTTTATTAAAGAGAGTATGTTTATTTTGCATTACTGCAACAAAATAAACAACAGAGGATGTTTTATCCAGTTAGAAGCGTCATGTAACATGCTTATATTTGTATTTGTGTTTGTGGATGAGTTTAGCCTGCAGATTTTATGCGGTTGTTAAATAGCTGAAATACAACCAGTTTTAAAGTACAACTATCATTGCCCACCCTTGCTTTTTTGTTGACCTGCCCCCAACTCGAACCGAACTTGAAAAAATACCAAAAAAGCTGGCATTCATGAGTGCTCGTCCCATTAATATGACATTTCTGACACGACTTGAAGGCAGCATATTTAATACTTTAAAGACAGAGACATCAATTGACTGTTGAGAAATTTTGTGATCATTTTGACACCACCACCCGCCCCCCATATTGTACTCATTTTACTAAATTTGTGCAAATTTTAGTCTGATATTGTTATGAGATCAGTCTTACAAAAAAAAAAAAAATCCTGAGAATTTCTACCTGGAAAGGCCATTAGCGGTCACATTGACTGTATGCATTATGCTGTGATTCTTCTCTGTAAGTCAGCTATTCTCTCGCATTTTTCCAACGACCTTTCTTTTATCAGTGGCTAGTCAGTAGCCTACTCAACTTCTTCGATTTACCTTGCAAAATATTGAAAAAATAGTTTACAAAGTACAATAAGGAGTACAATTAAATAGAATAAAATAACAATAGAATAGATCAATATAGGCCATGGCTTAATTCATAAAGCTTAGTGATACATATATTTGTTAATGGAGTGTTATATCGGAAGAGAAGAAACATCACCACTGACAACTTACATATATATATATATATATATATATATATATATATATATATATATATTATTTATTTATTTATTTACTAACTACAGTTGCAACCAGGTCAACTATATCATTAAGACAAAACAGGACAAAAAAGCAAAACACCTGTTCAAAATAAAGTAATAAATGTGCAGTTTGTATAGTTACACTGGTTGTTGTTTACAGGCTCTCCATAATTGCTCTACATCTCTCTATTTTGATAAATGCCTGTTGTTCATGGTTCTAGGAGTATGGTTGATATCCACAATATTCCTAGAAAAGCATACTGTGATGTAATTAATCATGATAACAATAATAAAGTGGCATATTACCAACCTCTATATGCTGTTCTTGTGTACAATGAAACTCCTTAGCATGGACTGTAGTCGGTCAGCACAAAGAAGGTCCGTAGTCAACACAGAGGACATTGACACTCTCTAAACCTCTACTACAGCACAACCTGATGTTTTACATACAGCATCTGCAATTACAATGACCATCAACCGTGAATTAGGCTAGAGAGGCTGAAGAGGAAGAGAGAGTGAGTGAATGTGTGAGAGGGAGAGAGAGACGGACTGAAAAGGGGTTGGAGAGGGAGAGACTGAGAAAGAGAATGAGAGAGAAAGTGAGGGAGAACCAGAAGGGACATAGCAGGGTTGAAGAAAGAGAGAAAGAGAAAGAAAAGGACAGTGTGAGTGAGAGAGTGAAAAAGAAAAGGTTAAGAGGGAAAGACAGAAAGCAAATGTGACAGAGTGAGTGGCTGGGTGAGAAAATTGAGGGAATAACAAAGAGGGGTCAAAGAGAGAGAGGAAGAAAGAGTGAGGGAGAGAGATTGAAAGGGGGTGAAGAGGGAGAGAGTAAGAGAGATAGACAGTGAATGAGAGAGAGAAAGAGAGAGGGAGGGGATATTGGGAAGGTGAAGGTATCTCACTTTAATGCCTCTTGATAAATGAGTCATCTTTTATATTTTGTACTTTGCTTTAAGCTCATGGGTGAGTGAACACAGAATGAGCTTCGCTATACAGTCACCTTTTCAGGGACAAACCACTTTTTTGTTCTGAGACAGCAAGTCTATTTTTCATTGATGGTACATATCAAAATAACCCTCCACTGTGCCAGATTTACACTGAAAGGTGATGTTAAATGCACAACAGCATTCTGTCATCCTCGCGATATCATTCACGCATCTTCATGTTATCACAGCTTTCTGCTTTGACGGTTAATGTCTGTGTTTCTGTGTGTGTTATTTTGCTGTGGTGATAATTAATGCATCTATGTGTGTGTCCGTGTGTCTGTGTGTGTACACGTTTGCAGTGGTGTTCGATGACTGTGCGGAGAATGAGGGCATGTCATTTGAAGTGTCCCACCCAGACTTCCTGATAGATGAGGATCTGAATCTGGTGCCCAGGAGAGATGTTGTGGACAGTGGGACAGTCATATTTATCCATGGACTTAATGAGCATGCTGATGATATGGCACAGGTGGACATCCTAGGAGCACCACCCAGATCTCCTCAAACACTCAGGGTAAGTGTTTATGAGTTTTATTAGTCTTTTTTTGTGATGTCACACATATACGCTGCTGCTTACAGGCAGGGCCCCTGAGCACAAACCATTGGACATCCGGCCCCTTGCGCACACGCGCAAGTACCAGATGTTCCATATTTTTCAGTGAAAGAGGGGCAGAATATTTTGCCACTGGCAATAGCAGGATAGCACAGGGGCCAATGGAGTCTTCAGCGGTGGAATAATCTGGATGTAAATCTTTCAGGAAAAATCAATACTAAGTATGTTTAACAATGTTTAAGAAACCTGAACTTCAATGACAACACTGTTAACTGTATTTAGAGGCATTTGCATGTGTTAAAAACACTACATTGGGAACATTGATAACCATTACCTTGCGGGAATCATAATGCTATCCATATGCTAAAGTAAGACACAAAACAAGTTCATTTTTCAATGCTAACATGTAAATACAGCATTAGTGCCTCTCAGCAAGCCAACCCGGACTCCCTATGCCCCCTGACAATCATTTACAGTCCAAATTCCCATAGACCTACCCCTACCAACCTTCCAGCTGTACTTTGTATTGGACCTTGCTTCTGTCTGCTGTGGTGGTTCTTCAAAACAAGCTTGCAGAAGTTTAACTGTACTGAAAATAAGCCAAGCAGCCTATTAATTATCAATAGCTGATGTGGTGCTTAATTATCTGATAAACTAATGATAGTTTAACAGCTGTGATGATCTTCAGCAGTGCTTTTTCTTGAGTAAAAAGGTATTGAGAATTTCAGTTCTGTTTATGTCAGTCTGAAGTTTCATTGGTCCTTGTAACAGAAACATTGTCAGATCTGTAACCTAAATTTTATTGATTTTTTTTTTCTTTGAAATTAACTTTACCACTTAAAACATGACACATTATAAGGATTACCAGGTGTACATTAATAGCTTACATAACACTGCTTACATTAACAAAACGAGCCAGGCACATAAAAATTAAATTAAAAAAATGTTGGGCTAATTAGTTTGACTACAAATTGGATGGTTACATTAAGAATTTAGATGTTTTTAGGCTCATTTATCACTATTATAATATTTCTCCAAGGGACCTTGCTTGCATTTATCATATAATGTATGAACTGTGATCAAACCTCATAAAATTTCCCTTGATAACCATTGCGTCTTGTGAGCAGAGCTTCAAAAGAGGCTCTTATCTGTCATTAAATTAACCAGTCGGTAAATATGGGTTTGAGCTGACTCCTCCCTGCCAGTGCTAGTCTACATTCTGGTTTAGATACCGGGTAGTAAAAGTGATGTATCTCCCAGACAAAGCTGAGGAGATCCTGATTGTGTTTTTTTCCAACCACCAAGACTTTGAGTAACTTGCTTCCCACATTACATGTAGGAAGGTGCCTCCTTCGCCCCTGCACCTCCAGCACCGTTCGCTATCCGCTAATCCTAAACTCTGGATCTTGACTGGTGTATAATAAAATCTGCATCTACAATGTCCAAGTTCAGATCTGTTTTACCATATCAGCCTTAAATTCTCACATTTACTGTACAGATTATTTGCCATGATATTATAGAGCCTTGCAGACGAATTAAGAAAATAAAGAAGGCACGCAAATTTATTCATTCTCACTCAACTCCGAGACTCTTTACTCAACGTCTCATCTGTAAATATCTCCAAAAGTCTTCCTGTAAAATTTAAACAATGTTTAATTTCCTAAAAGGACTGAAATATATGATCTTTATACAGATCACTGATTTCGCTCATATTACTATTCAACCATGATAATGTAAGGGAGAAATGACATTTTGCAGATTTTGAATCATTTGGATCTTTGATAATCTGTGTCTTAAATTCTTCATGAAGCCATTTTTCTTCATTTTAAACAAACACCTGCTTCCTGTGGCAGCTCTCTTTATGATTGGCTATTGTGCCAGTGAGGGTGGGGGAACAGCAAACAAACTGACCACTATTTTTTTTACTTGTTTTTCCTTCACAGTTCATGAGAATATTGTAAAAAATTGACAAATGACAGTCAGAACTGGACAACTGGGCACACAGTCTAAAAACCAAGTGTCCAAGTGAAAACCCTATTAGTGACCATTATTGTTACTTAGCAACTGGTAGTTAGTGGGGAATAAAATTATGGTGAAAAAACTCCACTGTTATCAAATATAACAACACAAATGGAACATTTTTCAACCACTAAGTTTGTGTGATTGGACCTCACTGCTTTCTGATCTGTTATAGCATTAGCTGCTAATGTTACCACTCATTAGCTCAGGTTTATGGAAAAATACCGTTCCATGTGCTTTTTGCAATAACGCCACTCCGGCTTTTCTTTCCTTTTTCGTATTTCATCTCATTTCATTTCTGGGAAATATCAGTCTGCATGTCTAACTACACCCCTTTAAAAATGATTGGGACCTAACTGGTTACATAGACCTACACACCAGTAATAAGCTCCCCAGACAAAAAAAATAGTCACCTTGTATGTTTAAGGTGGTAGTAACTTCAGGCTACTGCAGATGGTGTTGCACAAGGATGATTGGGCTATAAATACAAGTATTAATACAAGAGGCCTATGCTCACAAAGTTGCCTGGTTACAGTGGGCGAAGAGACAAAAAAATTAGACTGTTCATGACTGGAAACGTGTTATCTGGTCAGATGAATCTCGTTTCTGCCTGTATGTAAATGATGTTCGGCATCATGTTCATCGTAGACCTCAAAGCCTTCAATGAGGACTGTGTGCGAGTTGTGGTTCAAGCTAGAGGAGGCTCTGTGATGTTCTGGGGGTGTTCTAATTACCCCAAAACACCCCCAATAAATTTGAACCACAGTGCCTGCATTGAGCTGCTGGACAACCAGGTTTTGGCTTTTCCTCATCATCTTACAGAGAAACATAACATTCCTATCCCTGTATTCCAAAATGACAGTTCTCGCATTCACAGGGCTGCAAATGTGACTGATTGGCATGATGAACATTCTGGAGCATTCACACATCTGGACGGGGCCCACGAAATCCCCAAATTTGAATCCTCTTGAAAATCTGTGGGGCTACCTGGAACAATGAGTCAGACGTCCACAAAATCTGGCCGAACTGCACAATTCTTTGATGCAAGAGTGGTTGAACATGATGTCATGTACATGCAGAAACTTGTCCAGTCCATACCAAATCGAATCGCAGCTGTTATTCGTGCTCGTGGAGGTATTACATGCTCTTAGGTACGTTTCAGTCACAGGTGACTAATTTTTTGTCTGGTGAGCTTATTTCTGATTTTATTTTAAATTCTATGACTGTACTTTCATTGGCTTGTGTTATATGAACTCTTGGTGTCTTGGTTGTATGGGTTGTGTGTGCCTTTAAAAGAATGTAGCATACTAGCCAATCTGTTGTATATCGGTGCTGGTCAAGGGCCCCTAGAGAACAGGACCCCTGGGTATGTGCTCAGTAGACTGGGTTGGTAATCTTACAAATGTAATGCAAGCTGAGAGCAAGTCCCTACTGACAGGAAATCAGCGCTGTGTATTAATATTACAGCAGACAGGCTGTAGATCTTTTTACAGCAGTGAGTGACATGCATGTCTTAGCCATGTTCAACACATGCACAGTGCACTGCCCACTTCTTGTGGAATAAATAGGACATACCCTGTTGCTTCACTCACACAGTGCTGCATCTCCTCTCTCATTAAACCTTGGAACACTCTTGGTCTCACTCTCTGCCTTTGTATCACCCTTCTTTACCATTGTCTTCCCTCTTTTCATGTAATTTTTCATGCAGTCTCTTTTTTTAGCCACTCACTCATGCACGATCAAGTGTCAGAGACATTGGGGCGACCCCATTTCAGGCCTCTTGCCTCTCAGGGTCGCAGACTCTGACTTGATTAAAGGGTTTCCCAGGCTTGTCTTGGGTGTTTGGTTCTTCCCCAGTGGTTTGAGCCTGACTCAAGCTCTCTGGAGCAGGTGTCCCTGTGGTGCTGTTTCACCAGCTCCAGTTCTAATGAGGGACTGCCAGAGTTTCATGTGTGTCACCACTCCTTCTGTTGCTTATGCCTGCTGCTCTTAGTCATTCATTCTGCTCCAGAGGGTTATTCTGGCCCAGAGAATGGGAACTCAATGAAATACTTTCTCTAGATTATGGAGCTCTTTGCTAGTCTTACACTGTTTGTATTGTTGGTTTTTGCTCATTTCAAGCTGAACAGAACTAGCTGCTGTCCTCCTGGTTTGGGCTCACCCTCTTCTGCATTGGTATCTTACTCTTACCATCCTGGATTGCTCTTATTGGCGTTTGTGCACAATATACATCTTTCAGCTTTTCACGCCTCACTGTGAGTTCCACGTAAGCCACTCATGGCAGTAATAGCCTCGGCCGAGTGATTGGCACAAGCAGGGAGAGCTGGATTAGAATAGCTGTCCGTGAAGAGGCAGAATTAAGGCGTGGAGAAAGGCCTCATTATGGATCATATAGCCTGCAATCAGTGTCAAGCTCAGGCACAGTGAAAAATAAAGAAAGGAAAGAAAGGAGGCTGAAAGCCACTGGCCCGCTCTCAGCTGTAAACCACACTTTGTCTCGCTGAAAAAATAAAGCGCAAGTTATAAATGCGGTATTTGGTATAATTGCTAGGTTTATTGCACTTTGATTATTGATAAGTGTGAGAGGAAATGGAAAAATGTTTTTATGGGCCCTGGAGGCCAGCGCAGTGATGGGAGCTGCTGAAGAGGCAGGGCTCTGATGAATGGAGGCTATTATGAGGAAACTAAGAATTCACGACATAATTCACACTCCTCTGCCCAGGATCAATATACGAATTAATGAAAGAACAGATTTCAATTGAAAATGCATGCAGGAGATACGCAGCACTGTTGCTTTTCATTTTTCTCAGGTTTTGTTGTGCGAAATGAGAATACCTCGCCTTTCGAGGCAAATGAATAGAAAGCGGAACGTGATAATAGCACAAACAACAGCGTAAATGCTTATTTACGAGCCTTTGTGAATTCTTTGGCATCTAATGTCC